AACTGGCATAACAGCTTGAAAGAAACTAAGGATAGATTATCTGAACTGGAGGGAAGATTTGTAATATGGGAGTATGAAATGAAAAACTTCTTAAAAATAACAAAAAAACAAACAGCAACAATACAAAGGCTAGAAGATGATAAGAGGATCTATAACTTAAGAATTAAGAACATAAAAGAAGAAGTAGGGACACAAACAAATGAACTACAAAAGCTATTCACAGAAATAATCCAAGAGAATTTTCCTAATTTAGCAAAAAGTAAAGATACTCAGATGTATGAGGCATACAGGATCCCAGCCACCTACAAGCCAAACAGAGCTACACCCAGGCATATAATAATCAAAATTCCAGAAATCCAATATAAGAACAGAATATTAAAAGCCATCAGAGACAAGAAACAGATCACTTACAAGGGAACACCCATCAGAATTACAGCAGACTTCTCGGCACAAACCATCAAATCACGAAGAGCGTGGGGGGAAATAATTCAAGCTTTGAAAGATAATAACCTCCAGCCAAGATTGATATATCCTGCACAACTGTCCCTAGAAATTGATGGAAAAACAAGGTGCTTCCAGGATAAAGAGGAACTAAGGGAATTTGCAACCACCAATTCAACTTTACAGAGAATATTGCAGGATATTCTAAAAAAGGAAAATACCAAGATTCCAGAAATAGTGGCAGAGAGGCCACAATGAATGAAGCAGAAAGCGAAATGAAGACAAACTGACAACAAACGACAGAAAAAGAGCTCAACAGAAATGAGGCAGAGAAGGTTGGATGGTAGGAACAGCTATTTTGGAGAAAACAAGACATCATAATAGCTAGTGCTGATTTAGTATCATCTTGTTTTGAAGTCTCATCAAACTTGTCTTCCTCTGTCTCCATCGGTCTTAAAAGGTTGTATCTTATTGGATTTTATTATATATGATAATAGAAGTAAAAACTTTTATAGACAAGGAGATTATAGAGAAACCATTGTTCATTTTCTGTTAATTGGTTCTAAATACCCTGTAATAATGTCATTCTCTTGAATGGTTTTATAGTGTCTTGATATGTTTGATGCTATAGTATATGAAGTTATACTCAAAGATTTCAAGGAAAGAGACACTATAGTAATTATTTTTATGTCAGTTTATCTTGTGGTGAAACACTATTTTGCTTAAATGGTTACGTTTTGACCTGCGCTGTTCTGTTGTTATGCCCTCTTTTATCTCAATCCCCCCTGCTTTTTTTAATTACTTTTTTCTTTTTATCTTTTTAATTAAGGGAAAAATAAATAAAAAATAGCAGGATACATTATAGTAACCTACTTTGATTTCCTACTAACTTGATTTGAAATCCTGTATTGCCCTCACCATCTTGTTTTGATTGATTTTCCCCTATTCTGCTTTGCTTGATAGTACCAAGTTCGAAAGTATAGGCAAAACTGTGAAGACAATAAGATTCACTATGACGCCCATTCCGGTTGACTATTATCTTCTTTTAAAGTCCTGTAATGTCTCCAATGCTTTGGTTTTATTCTTTACTGTTTGGTTCAATTATATTATAACTGGCAATTCTTCTTAAATTAGCAAGAGGCAATATGGTAACCATTGTTGATCACCTTGTATTTTGTTTTTACATTATCTATTATGTCCATCCTTTTGATTTGACTGACTCTGTTCTGATATGTCGCATTTGGTTTTACTCTCTTCAAAAAAAGTAATAAGAACTGTGGGAGTAATAAAACCCAAAATGTATAATTGTCATTGTACAAAAGAAAAGAAAAGAAAGTGCTCTAAAGGTTATAACTGCAGATATGTTTAAGAAATAGATAACCATATCTAATAAAATAGATAACCATATTACTGAGTTGTTTGGATCATTGAACAAAACTGTTTGCACTCTCACTGTTTGAAAGTCCACTTTATATGCTTCAATTTTGTAACTTGAACAACTATTTCTAAGATGAGAATATGTAATCTGTTAACTAGTGATTTCTTACTGTTTATTTTACTTGTACCCTTTTTCTGTTTTTTTCTTTTTCTCCTTAAATAAAAAAAAAAAAAAAAGAAAAGAAAATCATTGTCAACAGCTCAAGGCAACAAAAGGACTGCTGTCCTTTATTATGGATTATCATATTACAAGGGAGAGGTAGTATCACTTAATAATATACGTAACAATGGATTTCATTCACTTAGCATATGCTGTTTTATGATGAACATCTTCAGTAATCTCTCCCTATGACTGTATACCATTTAATACTTTTTAAAAGTAAATTTGCCTCTGTTATCTTATTGGGGAATCTAAAGTAACTGTTATGTGTGGACTAGTGATATACTTTTGTCAGTACTAGTATTTAGACTAAGGGGCCCTTGCCAGATTTGGTGGCACACATCTGTACTCCAAGCAATTCTGGAAGCTAAGTAAGGGAACTGCAAGATCATGATCAGCCTGGACAATTTATCAGGATCCTGTCTTAAAAAGTAAAAAGGACTGGGATATAGCTCAGCATGAATTCCATGGATTTAACCCTCAGTACCACCAGAGACCAGACACAGACAATGAGGGGTGAGGAGGGAAGAGGGAGAGGGGTGCTGGGAGTGTCAGCAGGAAAATTTGTTACTAATACCTACTGGCTTCTTAAATTTCTCTCTTTGTCTCTCTCCCCCACCCCATCTTTCTTGAGACAGGGTCTTGCTATGTAGTTCAGATTGTCCTTGAACTCACTGTGTCTCCCAGGCTGGCCTCAAACTCTTAACAATTCTCTGGCTTCAGCCTCCTGGGTGCTGGATTACAGGTGTGCACCACCACAGCCAGCTCAAGTTTACTTCTTTTAAAGAGCAGTCTTACTAGAGATCAGTTTAGTTACAATGGTAATACGTTTAATAAGAGACAAAATAATTCTTCAGTGGATTTAGTGAAGTAAGTAATCTCCCCTAGAAATAAGAAATATCAAAATCTTGACTTGCATTGCAGTTTTTGAAACAGATAGGCATTTTGTGGAGATTAGTTGACTCATTTTTCATTCACTCCAATATCTGCTTGTACTGAGGGTCAGTGTCCTTGAAGGCTCCACCAGCAGCGCTGAACATACCCCCTCCCACACTTACTTCTGCTTACTTCCATTCCTTCTCTCTCTTCTTTCTTCATACCAGCTGCTACCAGTTTGCTTCCTGCCTCTTCACACTGTCCTGTTTTAGTCCCTTTACATTGCTCCTTTACCTGTTTTTTATATCTTCCTGTCTCCTATACTTCATGCCTCCCCCTTCCTTGTTTTGAGTTCTAAATTTTCCTGTCCCAACTTTGTTGTTTGTTTGAGACAGTTTCATTATGTACTCTAGGGCAGCCTGAACTGCCTTGAACTCATAATCCTCTGACCTCACCTCTCATGTGCTGGGGTTACAAGAATGTGTCATTGTACCTGACTCTATCTATGTCTTTTAATGAGAAAGAGTTGTGAAATCTTGTCCTAAGTTGTCTGCCTCCAGTTTTGAAAACAGTAACAAAAATATTTAACAACAAAAATGGCAACATGGGGTGATCAAAACCGAGAATGAATACTTACATTTTAAAAATTTATTACAGGAAAAGACACATTAATCCCCTTCAAAATATTCCCCTTTGCTTCAAACACACTTTCTAAAACAGTTTTGTCAGTCCTCTTTCATGTATGTCTTTATAAGGTTTGATCAAAAACACAGAGAATGTTGCTGTCCAAGGGAAAGACAGGCTTATAAAAGTATTACAGAGTGTGTGACTCACCACATCTGGCATTGTGAGACTTCTGGCTGTTCCCCAAAGTCAAAATACCATGAAAATCAATTTAGGACATGAAGGCACCCAGTAGTACAACTAACAGCACAAAACTTCCTAGAATTGCTTCAGAAAATGGCAAGAACAATGGAATAACTGGGTTCTAAATGGGAGGGAGTATTTGAGGGAGTTAAAAACAATGTGTCTTTCAATTTTAAACATTCACCATATTTTTGGATCATACCACACAGTTATAGTAAAATGTTATTTTAATGTTTGTAACATTTGCCAAGCTCTTACTGTACATTATATCTTATGTTAAACCCTTTATATGGATGGCTTTATTGATCCTCACAAAACTCCACAGGATTGCATTTTATAGGTAAGGAACTGAAATTCTGAGATGTTTTAACTAAGAGATTAACAATAACGTGGTCTTCTCTAAAACCAAAAAAGAAGGAAGGAGGGAAAGAGGAAGGAGGGAGAGAAGGAGGCAAGAGGAAAGGAAGGGAGAAATCACTTGCCCAAGCTCATATGAGCTATTAAATTTGACACTAGTTGATTTTAGCTTTTTTGTTTGTTTGTTTTTGAAACAGCGTCTCACTATGTTTCTAAGACTCACTTGAACTCACTGTGTAGCCTAGGCTGGCCTTGAACTTCCAGTGATCCTCCTGATTCAGCTTCCCTAGTGTAGGATTACAGGTGTGCACTATAGTCTTAACATCTATAGAGCCTGTATATTTAACACTTGTGCTGCACTGCATCTTACTAGGAGATCCTTAAAAGTAAAACTATCTATGAAAAAGCACAAAAGCACACCTGCCAGGGCCACTAAACAGGATGATATCTCAGCTCCCCATACATTCCCTCCTGACAGAATGCTCTTGAGAGTGGCCAATTGTGGCAAATGGTGGGGGGGGTGTTCTAGTTTCCCTATCCAAGAAGTAAGTGAAATGAGAGACTTATTTTGAGAATGAAATCCCTGTAAAAAGTTCTGTTTCCTTCATTGGTAAGCTAATTGAGGAATTTGGTTTTTTTAAGAACAGCTCATGGCTGGATAAAGATGATATATAGTAAACTAATTCATGTTTGTGTTCAAAAGACAATGAATTTAAAAGCGTACTAAAATAAGCTCCCTTATTCTGGTGATATGAAATACAAGAATGGGTTATGAAGTCATTCCCAAAGAAACTGATGTTCAAATACCATTTTTACTTTTGTATACTTTGTGTTCTGTCTTCAACTGGGGCTGTTTCTAAAGCTAAGAAGACATTTTCCGACTTGCCTGAGGTCTTGGAAAGTTCCTCCTCATGTCCTGAAATCTTCCCAGGCTCTGCTGCCCTCTGCTCCACTTCAGACATTCACAGAAGATGAAGTGATGATGAAGAGCATGGGTGAGTGAATTGCTCACCTTCTGCCTGTTAGTGTTTGGCTCATGACGTAGACCTGTGGTATGAATTTATGTATATGACAGATTAGAAGATACAGTCATCTGAAGGTTTTTTTGAAATAAAATTTATTTGAAAAAGTAAGACATATCTAAATTCAAAAGACAACAACAGCAAAATAAAAAGCTAGCTAAAAGTGTAATTTCTCTTTCTCTCTCTCTTTGAGATTGGGTCTCACTGTATAGTTCAGGCTGGCCTTGAATTTACTATGTAGCCAAGGCTTGCCTCAAACCCAAAATGATCCTCCTGTATCAGCCTCCCGAGTGCTAGGATTATAGGTCTGTGCCACCACACCTAGCCAAATCTCTCTCACTTCTGTCCCTAGGTTCCCCAGTTCTTACCAGAAGCTACTTTGGTACCAGTTTTTTTTCATAGCCTTGAGGACAGGGTATATGCTTCTGTATAAAGTCCAGAGGGGCTGCTGAACATCCTCCAATATCCAGGGTGACTAAGACTTTATTGCCCCAGATGTCAAAGTGGGCATGATGTAAAGATGGAGAAACCTTGTTCTGTGTGATAGTATAGCTGTTAATAGGCCTATGTTAGATGGTGTCTGCTGGCATAGAAAGATAATCAAGAAATGAGATGTGGTAGCACACACCTTAATCCCAGCATTTGGGAAGATAAGGCAGGAGAATTGCAAATTCAAGCCCTGGAAGAACCTGTCTGAAAGAAAGAGTGTAGACTGGTGCATCCAGTGGAAACCAGTGTGGAGTTTCCTCAAGAAACTAGGACTAAAGTTTGACCCAGCTCTCCTTCTTGCTATCTTCCGAAAAGAATGAAAAGCATCATACTACAGTGATATGTGCACCCATGTTTGTAGTGGCACAGTTTGTAATAACTAAATCTTGGAAACAGCCCAAATGTCCATCACCAATGAATTGATAAAGGTGTTGGTTTTTATACAGTGGAATACTACTCAACCATACAGAAAGATAGGCTTGAGATGTTTCTAGATATATGGATGTACCTTGAGACCATAGTCTTAAATAAATTGGATACACACATGTGTAAATACTGCATTGTTTCTCTGGTGTGAGAAACCAAAAATGCAAATAAGGACCAAAATGTATAGTGAATATTACAAAATAAGAAAAAAGCATTCAAATGGGAAGGGAACTAAGGCATGGGGAGGAGAAAGAAAGAAAGGGAAAAGAAAAAAAATGACAAAAGAAGAAAAAAATAGAAACAAAGTTTTTGTAAATAAGGAGGGGAGGAGAGGTTAAAGGTCAGGTAGGGGAATGGGAAAAAAAGAAACAAGTTTGTCATGTACAGGTACATATTCTCTATGATGAATATCATGATAATGCATACATAAAGTATACCAGTAAATTTAGTTAATTTAAGAAAAGGGATCATGCTGGGCATGGTGGTGCACACCTATAATTGAAGCACTGAAAAGTCTGAGATAGGAGGACTGCCGTGAGTTTGAGGCCAGCCTGGCAAGCTGTGCGGCGAAACCTTGTCTCAAAAAACAACAGAAAAGAGATTATCAGGGTATGTATAAGTAAGTAGAATGTTGAATATCTATCTTTTGACTCCTTTGTACAATCTAGATAAATTGCTAGGTAAATAATTGTATGTGCCTGTATAGACAGATGGTTTTGAAACAAAAGTTTTCAAAAAGAATACATAATAAATTAGTTATCTTTGGAGAGAGGGACTAGAAAACAAAGACGGGGATTGGGCTCTCACTTTTCATTTTGTGCTTTCTGTATTTATATTTTTACTCCATGTAAATGTATTATTTTTTAATATCTGGAATTATGAAAAGGAGATGGGGCTTTATACTCTATTAAAATTTCATAAATTCAGTTTTAAAAAGAATAAATGCATCTGTGTGTGTCTTACTGGTTAAAAGTAAATTTGTTAGCAAACTATTAATAAACTGTTATAATCTTTATTAAAATGACCGGTACTTGAACACAGGTTTACTGGTGATTCCTTTTCCTGCAGTTAAAAAATTCGCACAAGAACAAATTGCTCCTTTGGTTTCAACCATGGATGAAAATGCAAAAATGGAGAAATCAGTAATACAAGGATTATTTCAGCAAGGGGTAAATATTTCATATTTATTTCAATTTCAGGCTTTAATAAAAATATTCCAGTATTAAAACTGTATGTGTACATTTTTTAGCTTTTTGAGACAGGGACTCTGTAGTTCAGGCTGGCCCTGAGCGCACATTATAGCCCAGGTTAGTGTCAAACTTGCAACGATTCTCCTGCCTCAGCCTCCTGCGTGCTGGAATTACAGGCATGCACCACCATACCTGGCTATATGCTTACTTTTAAGTTCTAATGAACATAATGAACTGCATATTCTAATAAAAAAAGTGTGTTCTCTTTTTCATTGAGGTCCTATAATATTTACATCAGTATTTATATACTTAAATTTTTAATACTAGTTGAATGAAAGGTTTTACATTGGAAATATTGTGCTTTTTAAGGAAAAAGTGGGGGAGTAATTTCTGTGGACCAGTGATTCTCAGTCGAGTGATTCTCAGCCAAGAGCAGTTTTACTCTCCACGGTAGTGTTACTGGTGTCTTATGGGGCAGTGGCTAGGGAAAATGCTTTAAAAATCACTTCATTCACTCCTAAGTTCTCCTCTATGGATAGGAAATTTATTTCATTTTTCACTTTCAGTATTAAAAGTGTTCCAGAACTAGTCATTGGTATTTAGAGCCATTGATTATCCTAAATCTATTCTGTTTTTCTGTTTGAAATATAACCTTTACAACTTAGCCAAAAATTTTTTGTCTGTTTTAAAATGGCCAAGTTTTGGTAACTTTTCCAGCCTTCTCTTGGCAATGAAACTCTTGAGAAAATGGACTCATGTAGAGCCCATTGGGTCAAATGGAAGTTGTCTTAGTTACTTTTCTCTCATGGCTGAGACAAAATACCTGACATCCAAAATTAGGAAAGGAAAGGTTTATTTGTCTTATAATTTTTGGAGGTTTCAGTCCATACTCAGCTGGCTCCAAGGCAGGGTGGCATGGATGAGGGGCAACTGTTCACGGTGGCTGCAAACAGCAAGAGCAAAAAGGGGAAAAGGAGAAAAGCATGCCTCCATTCCTCTCTTATAGTGTATGCTCGCACCCCACTTCTGGGTGGGTACAGCACTCACACCACCAATCCCAGCGCTAGACAGCAAACCAATCACAAATGCTGGATCCAGTTACTTCCATGACTGTATGGGGCTTGAGAGGCCATCCAGACACAACACACCATAATAGAAGTCCAGTGTGTAATACTCTGTGAGTGCATTTCTTAGCTGAGTTTCACTGCAGTCACCAGCAGACCCTGCAGGCCTCTGAGAATCCTAGTCTCATAGTTTGGAAATTGTTCACTTGAGGTGATAATCTTGTGGGTCTGGACTGCAACTGTCTGCCTCCCATCTCTGTAAACTGTTTTTGTTAGCCTAGCTCCATCTACCTGCTAATTTCTATTGTCTTGCTTCTTTGGTCACCTGCAACATGATTTCTAAGTCAGTAGAAAAATTAATGACTTTTATAGTGAAACACACTGTCAGATGATTGCCCACAATATTATAATCAGATTGCTGTCATGCCCTCCAGTCTTAAGGCATACCCACATTGTTCAAATTTTTTTCAGAGAGCAGTATTTATGGTTATGTATATCAAACCTTTAGTTACTATTTTTAAAAGTCTACATCAAAATAGTTTTTGTCAGTAAGAGTCTTAGCTTTTAGTCCTCACCCTTTGTAGTTTTACCTTCATAGCAGCTGAGTGTGTCTTCCTTCAGCTTGCAATGTAACAGCCACAGGCCCGACTGCAGCCTAGTGTAATTCCAGGAGAGTGTAGCAGGGATGGCAAAACTTTTAGAGCTTTCAAAGATCCATCAGTGCTCTGCAGCATGGGTCTTGAATCACATGTACACGTGTTCCCTTTTTGAAATGAGGATACTTAAAAATGGAATAGTACTGAAGGAATGTCATCCCCCAGATCTCACAGTAGAAACCGAACAGTCAAGAGTTGCTCAGATTGTGGACAGTATTGGCCAACATTTGTCACTTTTAACAAGCACCTGTGTCTTGTCAAGTGTAGCTTTAGCAAACACCACCAAATGTTGTCCGCTAACCATCCAAAACTTGCTGAAGTGCCCCAAACTGAATGATCCTGCAGTCATTTATCTCAGGTAAAAATATCAAGGTAAAGGAGCCTTCCTAGAAGAGATTATGCCCAGTGAAACTGTAGACATTCCCCCTGAGGGCTGGTTACTTCCTTGCTATTACATTCAAATCAGTACAGTGGGGACTTTGGTGAAAGACCAAAGAACTCTTGTGGTCTTTAGCAAAAAGGCCGTAAGAATATCTTTATATAAGATATTGTCTCATTTCATTCAGCTACTCTTTAAAACATTTGACCTCTTAATTTTGAGGTCCAAAAAGGAGGCAAGCAGTTTTGAGAGTCTTACTAATTCCTGGCTGGCCTTGAACTCACCATATAGCTCAGGCTGGTCTCAAACTTCTGTCAGTTCTCTGGCCTCAGCCTCTCAAGTGCTAAGATAGCAGACATGCACCTCCATGTCCAGCTGTGGCATGTAAATTGTCCTTTTCAAATAGTTTCCATTATAAATAACTTGTAACTTGTTATTTTTACCAAAACAGGCGTGCAAAATTAAAACAAAATATTTGTGCAGTATTTTAGTTAAGAACATACCTGGTTGTGATTTACTTTTGAGATTATTCTTATAAGAAATTCCCCAGTATGAAAACAGCTTCCTTAATCTGCTTTTTGTTTTTCCTGTAGTTGATGGGTATTGAAGTTGATGCCAAGTATGGAGGAACAGGAGCTTCATTTTTTTCTTCCATCCTAGTGACTGAAGAATTAGCCAAAGTTGATGCATCTGTGGCTCTTATGTGTGACCTTCAGAACACAGTGTTTAACAAGCTCATTATGAAACATGGGACAGAAGAACAAAAGGCCACCTATTTGCCTAAGCTGACTACAGAAGATGTGAGTCGAAACAGATTTGGTCTTTTCTACATTTATAATATTTTCAGGAAAAAAAGTAGCTGCAATGTTGACTTTTATTATTCAAGACTATAGTGTCATGCCATCAATTAATCTGATAACTCTCAATAAGAAAAATAGGGCTGGGGCACAGGACCTGCCTGGAAAGCTCAAGGTCCTGAGTTCAATTTCCAGTAGCAAAAAAAAAAAAAAAAAAAAAAAAAAAAATAGAGAGAGAGAAAAGAAAGAAAGAAAAAGAAAAATATACTTTGCTTCTCATTTTCCACTTAGAAATTTAGTGAATAAGCATCAGGCAATAATCCTTTTTTGTCAAAATTCTGTTTTCTAGTACCTTTGTTAATGGTACTAGATCTCATTTAACACTGAGATTGCCTACTACTATAATTATTTGAATGAATTTAATAAAGTTTCATACGTATTCTTGCATTCTTAAGTTTGTCTGAGACAAATTGTAGGGTAGTTTGGAAATAATACTGACAAAAAGTATTTTGATACAGACTTTTAAAATACTAACTAAAGGTTTGATATACAAATTTTCATTTTGTCATTATTTGTTATGCAGAGCATAAATACAGTTGCTAATTTTGATTTTTTTTTCCCTTACATGTGCAGATAGGAAGCTTTTGCCTTTCAGAGGCTGGAGCAGGTAGCGACTCCTTTGCTTTGAAGACCAGAGCTGACAAAAAGGGAAATTACTATGTTATCAATGGGTCAAAGATGTGGATTAGCAATGCAGGATATGCCAAGCTCTTTGTGGTGTTTGCAAATGTAGACTTTACTGCTGTAAGTTTGTAAACAAATTTCTCCCCTTTCCCTGTAATCTTTCCTTTTTTTCTTTTCTTCCTTACACTTCACTTAATGTCTTTATAATTCTAAATGCTAGAAATGTAAGACTTGCCCTGGCATCTTTTCACCTTGTATTAATTGCCTTATTGTTAACGTAACATGGGGGAACATTTGTTACTTAAATTTTAATGTTATATTCGTAGGAAGCTAATTTTTAATTTTGAAGAATTTCAATTTTTCTTTTTAATAATGACTTTATTACCTATATAGTACATTTGTTTTTAAAACTATTTTATTCAGTTGGACAATAGATATATAGCAAAAATGGTAATTGTGTTTTATTTTTTGTCTTTTTACTTACATAATATTTAATTGAATTAAATTGCTAAAACTTTTAAAATACTTAATTGAATTTAAAAGTGAGACTTTCACGATTATATAACTTATTATAACAATAATTTCAATATTTAATATGGTTTCTAAAAGAGTTTAAAAAATGGTGAGATTCTTTAAATTGTGTCTGATGTGCTCCAGGCATTCTTTTGTAATGCATGTGTTGCAATTTAGAGCCCTTTAATATTTATTGCTATAGTCTGTTTTTAGTTTTCTTTTTATCTTTAAAACTGTATAAATGAGATTTTATAAATCCAAATGTTAATAGTATTGTAAATCTTTTTAGAGCTATAAAGGAATCACCTGCTTCTTAGTAGATCGTGATACAGAAGGCTTTCATGTTGGGAAATCAGAAAACAAAATGGGTATCAGAGCTTCTTCCACCTGCCCATTAACATTTGAAAATGTAAAGGTGAGTATTTCAGAATAACCAGTAAGACTCATGTGAAATGAACTTCATATGGAACCAGAGAGGTATCAAAACTTTTAAATGGAGATAAGTGTGCACGGCAGAGTATTTTGTGGAGTCCCTAAATAGTGCTCTTAGGTTAAGTCATGACCAAGTGTACTTTCCATAACTGTTTAGGCCAGAGTGGAAACTTTCTGTCCAGTTGCTGGCCTCAGGAACAAATGATAAGAATTTATCTCAGTTGTTTCTGCTACTGCTGCTGCTGCTGTTGTTATTACTATTGTTGTTGTGGAAACAGAATCTCACTGTGTAGCTCAGGCTGGCCTCAAACTCACAGTGATTCTTCTGCCTTAGCCTCCAAACGCTGGGGTTATAGGTGTGCACACTGTACTCAGCATATCTCTCTCTCTCACTATGTCGTAAGTTACATATTTGTGAACCATTTAAACTTTGTAAGTGATCCAAACACAGCTTTAGAGGCGGTCTGGTGTTAGTACACCACAGGCCACAAGATGGGGGTGTTGCTTAGAGTGAAGAACAACCAGGCAAGGCCTCACAAAATAAGACTGTCAGAGGCTGAGGCTGAAACAGGCAGATGTGCGAAGCTCTGGAGGATGCAAAAGGGAACATGGTTTTGAGGACACAATATAGATGTCGCAATGTCAACAGACAATTGGTATTTAAAAAGTATTGTGAAATGAGTCCTACCAGTTTAGATTAACAAATAAGTTCACATTGTTATTTTCAGGTTCCAGAAGCCAATATCTTGGGAAAAGTTGGACATGGCTATAAATATGCCATCGGAATTCTTAATGAAGGTAGAATAGGAATTGCTGCGCAGGTAAGTCAAATTTTACCTCTTCTGTAATATGAGCCAATGAAAATGTAAAACAAAAGAAATGCAGTAAGACCAAAAAGTATTTGGAAGCTTGTGAACACAAGATGGCATCCTTTTCTTATTGAGGTGAAAGAATGGTCTTTGGATTCCACTTTGTTCAATTATATACGTATCTGGAGAACCAAACAGTAGCTTAGTGGTAATGGTTTTTCTGCTTTGAAAATATTAAAATATTATCCAACACCTGAACCAAAACTTCTAAGATGCATTGTAAATTAAATATGGAAATTTTTTTTTAAAAAAATCAACCTTTCAAAACATAAAATTCATTCTGGAAGAAACTTCTAAAATTAGGAAAAAATAATTATCCTACTGTGTAAAGGTGTCTAGAGATAATTAAAGATTCATTCTTTTGCATGTGAAAATTGAACAATTTTTTGTGACACAGTAATAAAATAGTTCCAGTTACTTAGGTATGTAAGATAAAACTATTCAATTTTTACCAGGTTTGCCCTTTATAATACAGACTTCATGACATTGAACTTGGGCCTCAACCACACTCATCATGTGCTCTACATCTGAGCTACAACCTCAGCCCGCCAAACCTACTCTCAAATCAAATCTTAGCTAGGTTTTCTGCAAAGCCAAATTGTAAGTTACTAACGACTACTGGCATATTTGTACTTTGTAAAGTTTTTCTGTGGTTTAACTTCATCACATATGGCATTAAAAGCTCCAATACTGGACCGCATTGTTCCCAGACATAAATAATATAGATGTTCTGGCAGTAAAATACATGGCATGAGCTTTAGTCTAATTACTCCAGGTTATCTTATAATCTAATTAAAAGCTAAGGTCAGGTAGTTATTATGTCTCAATGGATGCCTTTTACAGGAGGCGGCACATATAACAGTGAACTAAAGTCATCTATTTTCAGAATTCTGCAGGTAGAGAAAATTTGGTCTTTAGTGTTTATAATGGAAACATTTCACTGAGCTGGAAACACCTATTTTGATTTTCATCTGATAGGATCAGTTTTCATGTTGGTACAGGCTATTATCTTTATGTCTTAATTGTTAGTTTTAAGAGTATAGTGAAATCATCTTTTTTTTTTTTTCTGATACCAAGGACTAAACCCAGGACCTTTCACACTAGGCACGTGCTTTGCCACTGAGCTATATCCACTGCCCTTTTAAAAAAATTATTTTGAACAGGATCTCACTAAATTTCTCTGATTAGCCTCAAATTGCAGTCCTCCTTCACGAGCCTCCTAAGTACCTGGGATCACATGTGCCATCACACCCAGCACAACATCTTAGCTCACAACAGAAGTGCAGTGAAGTTTAATTTGTGGGTTTGGGGACTTTTAATATAATCATCTGTTCTGCAGGAAGTTCAAAATAAAGGCTTGAAGCAAATGTGAGTAGCTGGGGATTTAGCTCAGTGGTGTAAGTGCCTACCTGGCAAGCACAAATTGTGAGTTTAATCCCCGGTACCAAAAACAAAAAAAAAGTGAGTGAACAGAAGTGAAACATTGATGTTTGTGGATATTTCTTTCAAAAACTTTATTGGTTTTTTGCTTTTTTTAAACCTTACATAGTTTGACATAGTTATAATAGTGATATAATGGCTACTAGTGTTGAAATTCAGAAACCATTTCTAAACTGGAAATCATTCAGTAGATATGAAAATTGGTTAGTAATGAGAGTTCAGCTAAAATCACTACCACATCCTGACTTGTTCTTCAGGCATATAAATTTCGTTTTTGCCACATGCTCTCTATCAGTTGTTTTAAACCGCAGCTGTACATTAAATCACCCAGAGAGTTTTTAAAATGCTGATTCTTAGACCTCACTCAACCTCCAACCCAATTCCAAGATTTGAATTTACTTGTTGTACACAGATGTTATCCCTGGTGTCTTAATTACTTTTCTCATTGCTGAGACAAAATACCTAAGATCAAAAGTTACAAGAGGAAAGGCTTTTGCAGCTCATGGTTTGCAGAAGATTAAGTTCATAGGGTTCACTAGTTCATACGTCCAAGACAGGGTGGCATGGAAGAGGAGAAGTAGTTCATGATGGGCAGAAGGCAGCAAGCAGCTGACTAGCAAAGCAACAAGTGACAATAACAGCCCCCTTTCTGTCCCTTATATTCTATTCAGGTTATCTATCTTTTTAGGGTAGCATTCACACACAGGGTGGGGTACCCCTAATACTAGCATTGTGCCATGAATCAATCCTAATATCACATCCTTATCCTAGCATCACACACTCGAGAGCCAGTCACTTCCAAAAACCCCCACCTATGACCACATGAGGCTTGAGGGTACATCAGATGTAAACCATAACATTTGGGCAACGGTATCTTTTAAAATTAAGTTTCCCATGTGAATCTGATTTGTATGCAGGATTGAGATATCCTGCAGCCTTATATTCTGATGCCCTTTCCATTGAAACTCTTGTTAATCATAAACAAAATGGACAAGAAGGTAAAAAGTAAGGAAGTGACCCTCTACAGTTTGATTTCTAGGATTGGGGGAAGCACTCTACAGTCTTTGAGACCACTTCTAAGCAAAGCTTCTGCAGCTTACTTTATTCTAGAGAATCAGAGCATTAAAGAAAGGATTCCTGAACAGTAGGCTGGTGTGAGTACAGCCATGCCAAATGGTTATTCTTTGTGCTAGAAAACACACGTGTTCATATGAAATCACACTATATTTTTTCCCAACTACTACAGAATGCAATGGATAAAGATGTGAAATTAACATACACCTCACAGTAACTTCAGTTCTTCTCTACCTCAATGATTCTATCTCACTATAAAAAGAATTTACAACTTAAATAAGTAAAAACATAAGCTTGTAACAAAATAATAGATTCGAATGTATTTTTAACAGATGCTGGGACTGGCCCAAGGATGTTTTGACCACACGATTCCATATATTAAAGAAAGAGAACAATTTGGCAAAAGAATATTTGATTTTCAAGTAAGTGACTAGGCTCTTTCCATTGTACTTGACTTTCCCTTCTTTCATTTAATAAAGAGTTGTGTTGAAAAGCCATGGAGAGAATCTCTTAGAGATTTTATGGGGAGAGAATCTTGGGGAGTGTAATTATGAGTGTCTTAATCTTTTTCAATGCAGAACTACAGCACTAAGGCCAGGCTGTGGCCGGATTCAGGATGTCTTGGTGAACACTGTAGAGCCATGTTCTCACTGCTTCGTAAGCCTAGGCCATGAGATCTAAAGTCAGGCTTCTTGTTCAAAGCCTAGTTCTTCCAGGTATAGTTGAGTATCCCTTTTCTGAAATGCTTCGAACTGGAGTGTTTCTGATTTCAGAGATTTTTGGATTTTGGAATATTTGAATGGATTTAATGAGGATTGAAGTATAAACATAAAATTCATTTATGTTTTATATATACCGTATCTAACCTAAAGGTAATTTTACACAATTTTAGTAATTTTATATATGAAACAAAGTTTCATTGTATGGAATTTTCCACTTGTGGCATCATGTTGACCCTCCGAAAGTTTTAGACTTTGGAGCATTTGGATAAGGAATGCTCATTCTGTACTACCTGTAAGCCTTGAGCACCTCTCTAGCCTTAATTGCCTTATCTGTGAAATTACAGTACAGGTGATACAATGTTTCCCATTTTTAAATTAGGTTCATATAAAGTGTTAGTACAGTGCATGAGCTTAACAATGCTCAGTTGAATGGTGACTTGTTATGAGTCACTGTTCAGAGCAGACCCATATGGCAGTCTTTAAGGGCACTTTGACACATGCACACTTTGCAGTGGCAGATACCATTGAGATGCCTTCAGCAAAGCATTTTGAGAAATACTAGTCGTGTCCATGTCTTGTCTTTTTAGAGCTCCCTAGACAGTCAAGGATTCCTTGGTAGCTAGGAACTTCTTATCCACTTGAGATTTTTGTCAGGCTGGGAGTAGCCTAGAATAACAGCTTACTAAGACTTGTAGGCAACCTGACATGTATTACCTGAAATTCTAGAATAATTGCATCACATGGTTACAAAACGTCCTCTTAAAGTAATAAGAACTAAGGAGTAATAAAACCCAAAATGTATAAATTTTGTTGTAAAAAAGAGGGAAAAAAAGAGCTCTAAAGGATACAACAGCAAGTGTGTTTAGGGGTGTTAAATAGCTGACCATATTAATGTTTTTGGTTAGATCATTGAACACAACTGTTTGCAGTCTCACTGTTTGAATGTCCACTTTGTATTCTTGGTACTGTGATTTGAGCAACTATTTCTAAGATGATAATATGTAATCTATTAACTGGTGATTTCTTACTGTTTTTTTTTTGTGTGTGTGGGTAGTTCTGTATCACTTGTACCCTTACACCGCTTTGTTTTGTTTTGTGTTTTTCTTTTTCCTTTTAAATAAAATTTTAAAAAAAAGTCCTCTTAAGTATCTCCAGGTTCAAAGTAGTTTCTTAACACACTAGCAGCTCCATGATACTATACTGTCTTCAAGTTTATGATGACTAGGCATCATATGAAAATACCCAGATTATGCTTGTATAAAGATATGAGGCTATGGACATGCAGGGTCAGTCTAAGATCTTGGAATGAGCATGGCAGTGTTGGCCACTGGCTTGCAGAGGCCATGTTTCCATTCCCATCCTGTAAACAGGATACAAGTCACACAGATGGTGGGTTTCCAAGACCATATAGCTAGCGCAGTATTTTCCAAAATTACAGGGTTTTGTGTTGGCTTCTGGTCTAATATTCATTTCATTATACTTGCATACTATCTCAGAGTTACTTTCTACATAGATGGCAGTGAGGGACAGAAGTGAGGTAGGGCTGTCGAGGCTTTTGTTCTTCATATACACCAGGGAACTGTACATGTGTGTGTGTGTGTATATCATTTATATACCTATGGACTACGTATGTAACAGAATTAGGTATACTGTATGGATTAGGTATACTAATAGGTATAATCACAGCATTTCTGGAGATGGCCAGTCTGGGTAGATTTGATTTGATTTGGTTTGATTTTGGTTTTTTGAGACAGGATTTTACTGTGTAGCCTGAGTCATCCTCAAGGTCGAAGCCATCCTCCTGCCTCAGGCTCCAGAGAGTTGGGATTATAGGTGTGAGCCACCATGCTCAGCAACTCTTGGTTATTATTTTTGAAAAATAGAAATTTGATGTTAGAAATTAGATCTGGGAATATAGCTCAGGGGCACAGCACCTGCCTGGCAAGCATGGGGTCCTAAGTTCAGTTCCCGGTACCAAAAATAACTAACTAAATAAATAAGTAACTAAAACCTGCAAAGCTATTTATAAGGCTTTGAATGAAGCTTGTACTGAGTTTCTCTGCATACTTCATCTCACCAGAGTGATTTACTTTTGGCGTTATATGTGTTCTTTCCTTTCCATCCTCTAGAGAGTAAGATCTTTGAGAATAGGGATCAAGTCTGTCCATTCTTATTTCCTGCAGTTTATTCGGTATATATTTGTTGAACATGTTCTCCATGACAGGTCTTGTGTTTACAGTGTAGTTAGGGAACCAATATTCAGCAGTAGTGAGTTCTCACTGAACAGGAAACATGCCAGAGTTTGTTTCCATGCTCCTCATGGTATCTGGAGATTTAACTGAACTAAACATATTTTGCAAAAATAATAAGAATCTCTAATTCCACATAAAAAGCCATTTGAGATGTCTAGAATGGTAATGTTAGCATAGAAATAGGCAGATTGCTAGAACAAAACAGGCCAGAAGTCAACTCACACATGTGTGTAAATTGATAAATGACAGAGATAACATTGTAGATCACTAAGTAGGAATGTTCTCTCTGTGTAAAAAAATGAAACCACATACAGAAAATCTATTTCAGATATATTAAAAAGTAATGTAAAGTAAACTTTAAGGTTTTATGAGCATATCTTTATGACTTCACATTTGGAAAAGACTGCATAAACAAGACACAAAAAGACTAATTATGATGACTAATCACAGTTGGTAAGCTTGACTATAAAATTTCTCTTTATTAAAAGATGCCATAAAGTAAAAATATAAATCATAAGGGAGAAGAGAGGTTCCCTGCACATAGCATTGTGGGCATTCAGTTTATTTTTATGTTTTATATACTACATTATACACTTATTTTATAAATGTTAAACATCATAGAAGTAAAAAGAACATTAGAATATTTGCAAAAGAAAGAATAAACTACTTGTTTTCAGTTTATCCTTCCTTTTTGTTTAAGAAAGGTCATTCTAGGATTATTAAGTAATTGCCTTAATCAAGGTTCTCTGTGTTACCTAACATTTGTTGCACAGTTATATTTATTGTCTTTTCCCTGCTGGACCCTACAAATCATGAAGACAAGGAGTTTGACTGGAATCTCAACACAGTGCCTCCATTGCTCAGCACAGTTCCTGGCATAGAGTAGGTGCTCAATAAACATCTGGGTGAATGGATAGGTTAGACATGATAAAGCATGACGGTTTATAATAATCATATGTACCTATCTATCCAGGAAAGTATTTATAGCTATAATCTATATTTTGAGTTACCAAGTCACTTATTTTTCTTATTAACATTTAATGACATCTGTCACTTTCTAAACTTTCAAGATGGTAGCAGATTTTTTTTTAGAGTGGTTTTAAGATTATTCTATTCTCTATAATCTTAAAGGAGCTGGCACCTATTATCGGATATTACAGTAGAGTCTCTCTAATAAATTTATTTGAAAGAAGAAAACTGTTTCTACAAATATTCCTTCATTTTTTGTATCTAACAACATCTAATGCTTTAAGCCCATAGGAAAAATCAAAATTTTCTTAACTCAAGAAAGCATATATTCAAAGTTTTAATGTGTGAGGCTTTGACTCAAGCTTAATTTTGATCATAAGGAGAATTACAAACAAATATTCACTAAAGCATCTAAGTTTTTAAACCTGATTTTGTGATAATTTATTATTTAAATCTTAACAATTAGGAAGAATTACATGAACTTTGAAATTTTTCTAGGACTAAAAGGCTTCATAACACAATGTTTTCAACTTTTTAAAAGAAATGAGCATGAATTTCTTTTGTGTTATATTTTAAGTCTGTCACTGTTCTGTGTCTTGGCAGGACCTAAAGATAAGCTGTGTTTTGGAAATCATAATTCTGCAACTTATGCCTGGTTGTTACAGGGGGTCCAACACCAAGTGGCTCTCGTGGCCACTCAGCTGGAAGCTGCGAGATTACTAACCTACAATGCTGCCAGACTTGTAGAACATGGGAGGCCATTTATAAAAGAAGCAGCGATGGCTAAATATTATGCATCAGAGGTAAAAATAAAAGTCAATTTTCACTTATTTTCAAATATGTTCTTAATAATTTTTTAACTTGAGTGTTTGTTTTTCAGTAAGTACAACAGACTTTTCAATTTTTATAGTAGGAAAACGAAAAAGTAAAACTACTATAGGAAATTGTTTTAATTTTGTAGGGTCTTGGTATTCCTATGAGTGGCCCTGTTTGATAGCCACTCTTGAAAACAAAAGAGAAGCCTTTCTGAATAATGGCATTGAGTTCAGCACTTCAAATTGGGGCGGAAAGATTGCCAAGGAAGATCATATGCTTGTAACACAAGCAAATGAAGTTAGAAACACCAGGAAAAGATTGTCTATATTTTTAATGCTTTCTACTTAAACATATGCATACTTTTTAACATGTTAGAGTTTGAGTGGAGAATTTAGCCAGGTCATTGGCAGCTGTTTCCTTGCTGGAGTACATCTGACTCATTTCAGGACTTTACATACTCATTTAACCTCTCCACGGCTTAATTTGATCTGTGCCTCAAGCGCCCTTGTGACTTCCTGCTAAATTATCCAGGCTTATTTTGACCCATCCACCTGGGGCACCAGTCAGAAACTTAAGAGTCATCTTGATACCTTTCTTTCATTCCTCCCCACCAAATCCATCATCAGTTCCTGAGGATTCTACCGCAAAAGAGTTCTTGAGTTGATATATTTTTCTCTCTTGCTATTTCATCCATCTAAAGTATGTCATTTCTTGACCAAACTATTGTTGACCTGACTACTCTTATGGTCCCTTTTACTCCAAGCCAGTCTGTCTCTCTTTTCAAAATGCACCTGAGTTCATGTCACTCTAGCTCTAAGATTTAGTATCTCACAATAACTATTTTTTATTCATTTCCTATCACCATATTACATATTACCAAAAATCTAGTAGCCTAAAACCATTCAGTTTTATTACTCCCCACCTCTAGAGGTCAGAAGTCTAAAATGAGTCTCATTAGGATCAAATAAAAGTATCAGAAGGGCTGTCTTTCTGAAGGCTCTAAGGGAGAGCCCCATTAAGCTTCCGTAGGCTGCTGACCATTCCTTGGCTTGCAGCCTCCTCTTCCATCTTCACACCCAGTTATGTAGTAGGCTCAAATATCTCTGTGGCTCTATTCTCTGTTGCAATAGTCATTGCCATCAGTAACTTAACTCTTTAACTCCTTCTGTCTTTTGTAAGCAGCCTTGTGATTATATTGGATATACCCAGATTATCCAGAATAAAGTCCTTATCTCAAAGTCCTTCATCTAATCCCAGCTACAAAGTCTCTTTGGCTATGTGAGGTACTGTATTCCATTTTTGTGGACGTCCTTGATTAGGCTGTGCATATCCCCAAGAAGCCTTTATCAATAGTCAGATTGCTGATTATTTTCTAAGGCTGGCCTGCCCCTCTTCTCTTTTTACCACTTACCCTGATCCCTGCCCACTGATTCTTTTAGGTCGTTAATGCTGATGATCCCTTTTATCCCTGAAGGCCTTTGCATGTACTATTCCTTAGCTGGAAATGACCTAACTTATTCTTTAGGTCTTATCCACACTGTTCTCAAATATCCCACTGTTTAGATCATATTAGTTTTCCTAGAAGAGTTTTCTTTTGCCCTAGACAGTTTATGACTGTCTGTGCTTAGAGGTTTAATATCTTTTTCTAATGCCTGTCAGTATCAAAGGGCCAGTGACTACCCACTTCTGTCAGGATTGCAGAGTCTTTGGCATGAAAGCAATGTCAATTAGAATTTACTAATAAATGATACCTATTGGCAAGCATTAAGTATCAACAGTGTTCTGATTTTCTGGGCTGTGTATGTATCTCAGAAGTAGAGCGCTTGCCTGGTATGCACAAGGCTCTAGGTTAAACCTCCACAAAGGAAAATAAATTATTTTATTAAGGAAATAATTTCACGAATTCATAGGATATTTTATAGAAATGGCTAGAGAATAGGACTAAACAGACTATGCTTGTTTCTAAAGTAATTCTTCTAATCACCAATCACAGTGAAATCATATTGCTAAAAGTATCACAAAGAGGTATTTCTAATATATAAGTTAAGTGACTTCAGTGTGCAATTTGCTGCTTTTTAAAAATTTTTTGATAGATTGCAGGGCTTACAACCAGTAAATGTATCGAGTGGATGGGAGGAGTAGGCTATATTAAAGATTACCCTGTAGAAAAGTACTTCCGAGATGCAAAGATTGGTAAGTAGATTTTTAAACATTTTATCTGGGTTGGTTTGCCTTTTTGGGTGTTTGGGCTGTTGTATTGGTTGATTCTGTTTTATTACTACCAAGGCAAAGATAATCCCAGTTTCTTCAGTATATGTTTATTGGCTTTTTTGTGACTGTATTTTTTCCCTACTTCTTCCTATCAAAAAATGGATTTATATTTTAAAAATATCAAATCACCTTTTAAAATGCCTCAACAGTAAAGCTACAACAAAATCTCCTATCTTAATTTTTCTTTTACTAAAATTGCTTTTTTGTGTGATCAGTGTAGGTAATGCTATTGAAGCATTGTTCTAATTGCAGAAGTGAAGTGCCTAACCAAGCCGGAGCAGTGCAGTGCTGTCCTACCAGAAAGAAAAATAAACACAACACCTCCAAAAGCTGCCTGTTCCTTAATAATCTTCTGAGCATCCATCGATAGTTTAGGAACCAGAATCTTCAACTTAAGAGCTGATTCTGGACATCAATACAGCTAATGGGAAATTGCCGTCTTAGTCAAAATTACTTTGTCCCGCAGTTCCATATTCCAGGGACATTAAATGATGTTATTAGTAACAAGTTTCTAGCAAATACAGAGGTGATATTTATAGCATTTATTTCTCATCTGACTCTTAACTGTGGGCCTGCTCCTAACTGTTTACTTTGCTCCCTTTCATTTTAGGTTCAATCTATGAAGGAGCTAGCAATATCCAGCTGAACACCATTGCAAAGCACATCCACGCAGAATACTGACACCGTCAGCCTGGGCCCCTCCCTGGTGTTCCTCACTTTAAACTGCTGTGCCTTGTTGGAGGAGGGAGGGAGCGTTTTATTGAGGCCCCTTAGGCGTGATCCTCGCGCTACACATTTTCTCTTTCCGCTTTCCAGTCTGCTTAAGTTAATCACAGGAAATTATTTCAAAAATTTGAGAGGCATGCACCCCTATTTTCTCCAAAACTGTTTTTAAATTTCTGTACATATTTATATTATCATCTAGTTTCAGAATACATGTAAGTTTCACTCTATAAACATTTGGAAAAAAATTTAGAAAAATGAAGACATTTGAAGTATTACTTATAGAAATAGTTCCTCAGGGGCTGGGGATTTAGCTCAGTGGCATAAGCGCCTGCCTTGCAAGAAGGCAGTCGTGAGTTCGATCCCTGGTACCGATAAAAAGGAAAAAGACAAAAAAAAAAGAAGTTCCTTTATACTCCTTCTAAATTTTTATATTATGGTACCAATCAGCCACAGTTGATACAGTAGTCAATTTTTATTAAATACCTTATAGATTTAACTGTTAAGTTCTAAATGAGGTATAAACTGATAAAAATTTATTTGGAAAATCTAAAACTTTTACTTGTGAATATCAGAATGAATGGGAAATAAGAGTGTAACTTCGTAATTCATAGAATTGAAAAAAACCATTATTTTAATCAAGTAAAATAATATAATTTGTTGCTATAAATGGCCTGTGAAAGTTTTAATTTCATGAAGGTTTCAGCAGGTTACTTTTAAAAACATGTCCCTGCATTAGTTTTCAACTATAAAGTTGGAATAATTTGGCTTAATAATCATTGTGTTCAATATTGTAATATTGTTCCATACTATTTTCCACTATTATCCATTGAATGCCTCAAACTTCATTCTTGAACTTCATCATGAATAGTAAGTTCAGAAATTAAGCTGTCTTTTTTTTTTTTTTTGATACCAGGATACTCATGACCTACTGCTTGCCAGGTGGGCACTTACGCTGAGCTAAATCCCTGGCTCAGAAATTAGGTTTTATTTCAGTGACTCCTGAGAGAGCAAGATCTTGCCCCCATAAGAAATATATCAAGAATCTCATGAGAAATGGGGGATCAAAGGACAGTGTAGAGTTTGAAAAAATATACTCAATATTAAAATAATTTTATGTTTAGGATGACAAATATAAATCTATTGTTTTATAAAACAAATGATAGATTTAGTCCAACAAATACATAATAGAGGTGCCATTTCTTCAGTATTAGGGTTTCTCAGTCAGGAAGAAAACAAATCTTCTAGTACAGAGCCTGAGTCCTCAAATGAGAGAAGTGGACAATAGATAAGAGAGAGTATTCTGCAAAAGGGAGTGAGTTTGACATGAAAATGTTCCAAGGCCCCGTGAAAATCATCACTGCTATTAAACAAGAAGCATTTTAGTTCTTTAATGAAAGGATGTTTGTTAAGAAAACCTGACTTTCAGAGTAATTTTGATTTGCACATTCATGTTTATTGAATTGGCTTAATTTTTACAAAGCAAATCCTAGGTAAATATTCAAAATTGTATAAATACAGTTATGATAGCAATTACATTAAAATATTAGGAAGAAATAAGAACAGATTTAGACCTTGGACCCAAAGAGAAAAAATCCACTTAATTTTCAAATAGGATGATGATGAGAACCCCTCATTCAGTCTTTCAGAACCAAAAGACAAGAGTAATCTGATTTGAAAAATAAGGAATCGATAATGTGCCTTAAAGGGGGCCAGACATCTTTAGTTTCTGCGATTATATGGAAGAGGTGGGCTTTATGGATTTTGAAGTAGGAGTCAACATTTGTAAACTGAGCACCAAAATTTTCCATAATAAACCTCCTGTTCAAGTTTGCAACAGAGAGTCTTCCATATATGTCTGAACCTTGAATGTATATTTAATATAGACAGATTTGTAATTATATCTTCATTTTGTGCATGTTTACAAAAAACAGTCAAAATTAATAACTGTATTCTGTTATCCCAGCATTTTGAGACAGCAAGCTATGAGACACAAGTTCAAGCCCAGCTTGGGCAGTTTAGTGCATTAGCAAGACCTTATCTCAAGATAAGAAAATAAAAAGAACTGGGGATGTAGCTTCGTCAAAGGGCCTGAGTTCAATCCCAGAGCTGAAAAGGTTTTAAAAAATAATATAGTTAATATATAATTAATATATAATATGTAATATAATTAATATATGTTAGTAAATGTTCATGTTAATATCAAAGAAGAGTTTCCCTGTAGTCCTTCCATCATAGCTATTCTGATCACCATGACTCTGGGGTTTTTAAAACTATATATTGAGTTTGTGTGTTGTGGAGAGCCACACATTCTTCTCCTGAAGTCTCTTGCTATAATTTGTTAATTTCAGGATTGGCTGTTGTGGGGCTCAGAAGATGGAGAACTGTTTTTATTCACATTTGTATGAATGGAGCTGGTTTCAACCCAACTGCCAAGAAAGAATTGTTAGAGTTTTCATTTTACAACAGGAAAACGAATTAGTGTCAATGACTTCAGAATCATGCAAGACTTTTGAGCACTATCCTGCCAATTCCCTCATTTTGAAAGTAATTAAAGGATTCTTGGTATAAGTTATTTTCCCAAGATCCTGTATCCAGAGTCAGAGACAACAGTTGAAATGTACTGGCCTTCAATTCGGTGTTCTTCCTGTCATTAAATATTGCCCCTGTTCAACAGATTCGGAGTTTGTCCTTGGTCAGTATTGTTCATTTCTTTGAGTTTTGGCTGGTAAAGAATGAACATTACAGAAGCATTGTCACTGATGAGTGTCATCCCTTACATGTATCAATCACTTGCTAAAAGTACTGCATTGGCATTTGTTGAGCTCTGTTAGGCTGTGTCTGAGATGTCAAATGCAAAAATTATTGTATGCAATTGTTTGTATACAATGGTTTGCACTGTGCTGTATCCGACTGGTCTACTTTTGCTGATCTGTCATAAAGTGAAAGTTGTATTTTAATAATATATATTAGATTATATTCATTTTTATGAATCAATATTCTATAAAGAATAAAAATATAAATTACTAAATTGACTGTTTTTTTGCTACTCTGATAAAGTAGAATTCACTGGGTATGATGGTGCACACCTGTAATCCCAGCACTGAGGAGACTGAGGCAGGAGGATTGCCACAAGTTTCATGCCAGCCTGGGCTACATAGTGAATCAAGGCCAGCCTGAACTTCACAGTGAGACCCTGTCTCAAAAAAAAGAAAAGGAAAAATTGTTTGTTACACATACAGATGAAATAAGAAATAATGTAATCTTCCTGCATGACACATCTTTATTTACCAAGCCACTAGTTTACGTCTCATGTAAGTCAATTTTTTTCATTTTAGAGAAGAGATTTTATAATGCAGGCCAAGTTTAAATTTGTGATGCTAAAGAAAATTTTGCCAGAGTACCCTTCACACCTCCCCATGGCAAAATAAGCCCTTCTTGAGTGGGGAGGTCTCCTCTTTTGAGCATATCATCATAGCACAATATTATCTTGCTGATAACTTGCATCTGTACTTTGTGGTATTCCTTCTGGAAATTTTACATTATTGTACTTTTTATCTCAATGATAACAGATTATTTCTCATCATTTTCCATGTTAGTTTAGAAATCTAGATAGTATTCTCTCTCTGTCTCTGTCTCTCTGTCTGTCTCCCTCTGTCTGTCTCTCTGTGTCTCTGTCTCTGTCTCTCTCTCTCTGTCTCTGTCTCTCTCTCTCTCTCTCTCAATTCTGTCATTCAGCAACATGTTTGAGCTGTTGCTAGGGCCAAAGTACTGTGGGCTCTGAGTACCTTTGCAGAGATGAATAACAGTAGCTCCTTATTTAAATGTTACCCAGCTCAATGTTTTTATTTTCTTCCATTTTCATTACTATATCTTGACAAAAAAAAAATAGTTGAAAACTACCAAGTTCAACCTTCTGAAAGGATTTCTTTGGAATTATGGCACATGCTAACACCTCTGGTGCTTTACCAGCTGCCAGCCATTTTTCTTACAACCCTTAATGCTGTGCTCTTGTATCCTATTTTACAAACAAGGAGACGGCATAGAAAAGTAAGCTGCTCCTTGGTACAGGGCAGAAATGAAATCCATAGTCAGGTAGCCTGGCTGACAGAGGCCTTCTCACTTTCATTCCTTTGGGTCTTTAAGCCTTGTCTGTCTTCAGGAGCCTTCCAGTAAAATACCATTACCAGCTATCCTCTTATTAGCTAATGATCTCCATGGATGGATTTCAGATCTTTTCAAGCAGAGGCACTCACTGAGACCAGGGTTTAGAAGAAAAATAAATAGGTGTGGTGGGAGCATATATTTTTGGGAGAAAGAATGGGATAAAGCTGGGATATAGCTGATGTTGAGCTCTTGCCTAACATGCGCAAGATCTTGGGTTCCATGCTCAAAAACAGAGTATGAGGGAGTAGGTCAACAGGGTGATAGGAAGCTACAGTCAGAGGGATGAGAAAAGCCCTGAAAAAGGAACTAAGAAATCCCAAAGAGCCATCTTCCCACCTCGTGCTGTATGTAATATCTGATTCAATTTGGAGGGAAAAAAAAAACCTAAAAGCTAGGTGTGGTGGCGCATGCCTGTAATCCTAGCACTCGGGAGGCTGAGGCTGGAGGATTGTTGTGAGTTTGAGGCCACCCTGAGCTACAAAATAGCTCAAGACCAGCCTGAAATGCATAGCGAGACCCTGTCTCAAAAAAAAAAACCAAATGAAAAAAGTTACCTGGAGTGTGAAGAATGACAAGAAATTATAATAAAAATCTGACTGATGGCTACAGAGTTTTTGGATTGCAGTTATTTGTACACAGAGTTCACAATGTGAAGAAAAATCTAACTTTGCAGTTTTTAAAAAGAAGTCATGGCAAGTAGACAAAAATAAGGGTAAATAAGGTAAGATAATATATGAAAGTTGAGATGAGTTAAACCTACCTACTTAAAAATGTTCAAATGAAGCAAAAGAAACTTAAATCCTAGCTACCTACAAATAGAATAGAAACCCCTAAAAAAAGACAATTCAGGAAAGTTCAAATAGATAGAAAAAGGCCATTCTTATGAACACTGCAAAAAACAGAAGCAGGAGTAGTAATGTTAATATCTAACACAACTGAATTAAGGGCAAAAATAATTTTAAAGGATATCTCATAAAAGAGAAGAATTCACCAAGTCCAATAGTCATGAACTTTATGTGCCTAACAATATAACCAAGAACTCTATAGAGCAAAACAAATAGAAATACAATGAGAAAAATTGACAAAGTCATAATCATAGGAACTGACTTAGAACTCAACAAGTCAAATTGGAAAAGGTAAGAACAGATATAAAGGATTTGGATACTATAATTAACAAGGTAGAAAAGAGAATTCTTGTTTCTTTTTTTGTGCAAATGAAAATGAATAGTCATTAGAAATTTGTCTCAGAGGAAATCTCCAAATTCCAAAAAGACAAAATTTTATAGGCAGTGTTCACCTTATACAACAAATAATCAAAATACAAGATATTAAAAAGCTTGTGATTTTAACCTGGAAAATCAAAATATAGATTATAAATTATCAACTAGGGTATGACTAGGCCAGCTGTCCCATTCAGTGCTTCCAGGGGATGTACCAAGAATGCATGTCAGGACACCCGGGGCTACAGGTACTGAAGTGTATACTGGGCATCCTTTATCCAAAGTGCTGGGGTGCAAAAGTATTTCAGATTTCAGATATTTTTGCATTTTCTAGTATTCTTATATACATGATGAAATACCTGGAAGATGGAACCCAGGTTTAAAAATAAGATTCAATTATGTTTTGCATATCTGTGAAAGGTAGTTTTACTTTTGTGAAAGTATATGTGAAAGATAAATTTCAAATGGGAAATTTTCTATTTATATTTGTGGGATCATTTTGGAGCTCAAAGTGTTTCAGATTTTGAAGCATTTTGGATTTTTAGGTTAGTGCCACTCAACATGATAATGAAAAATGAGAGATGGCTAAAATGGAATAAACAAAGCATGGAAACAGTCTAAGCAATCTTTTCATCAGTTTAAAAAAGAATAAGTAGATCTATGTATAAAGATTTTTAAAAATCACCAGCGATTCATACTGCTTCAGAAAATAATGAACCATATACCATTTGTACAGAACAGTACAAGGCTATTTTTATTTCTGTGTACCCAAAGGTACTACATTTAAACCTTAGAATTTGGAAGTAGAATCATGACACTGATAGTTGCACTTAATTTTGGGGTCGTTAATTAGGACTAAGAGTCATTGGCATGATTTATTTTTTTCAGTTTTTAAAAATTAGTACACTTTTGCATTGTGAAATGATTACATTCTTTGTAGGGAGTTGGTGCATGTACATAACACATCTCAACTCTTTTTTTCATTCCTTTTCTCTCCTCCTCCTCCCCTTCCCTTTTCATTTTTATAAAGGGAATATAGGCTTGTGTAATTGGAAAGGAACACAAAGCTACCTACAAAGTCACTGAAATCTTTCATTTTTGTGCATCATTTTCCCTTTAACTGATCTTTCTGCTTTTTTCCCAGTTGCCACAGACAAGTAGGCAGCTCTATTCAGCTTAAAGAGACTTAACTCTGGTACAGAACAATGGAGAAGGGACCTGATTCCTGCAAAGTCTGGCCCATGTAGGGAAATGGCTCTGTCCAGGTTTAGCTCTCTGTGCTAGGAAAAGCAAGTGTGTGTCTTGCTTTGCTGAGCTGGGTTTTCCAGGGATGGTTTCTTGGTTTCAGCAGACAGCATCTTCATTAGGCCTGGACTTAACGTCTTGGCTTTGATTTTTATGTGACTTGCCTGAGGTATTCAAATCAAACATTTCCTTGAACCATCTGTCTCAAGGAAAAAAGAAAATTAAAAATTTCCACTTGAGTCAACTGAACCAGGTTCATACCTACTAGATGTCTGAGGTATGGCTCAGAGGTTAGATCCAGCCTCATGTTTGTTTGTTATATAATTAAAAATATTTGTAGTATTCTCAATTTTGCCTCTTGCTCCAAAGCCTAAAATAATTACCATCTATCCTTCTAGGGTGAAGCATGCCAGTCTCTTATTAAATGATTGCCTCTAAATCATATTTTACTGAGGAGATTGGCCAGACTATCTAGGTGTCATATCAAAAGAAAAAAATGGAAAAAGCCCTCCCCAGGAACCTACTGATTTTTCTCTCTTGTTTTTATTTATAGTCACCCCAACCCTGTTGGCTTCCTCCTTCAATCTATGACTATGATTCTATCTTGTAATCCTCATTTACCTGAGGTACATGTTTGTCAGTAGATTTAAGCAATGCTCTCAAAGGTCATCTTTTTACCCTTAATGGTGGCCTGTTCTATCCATCCTAGCTTCTATGGATTCAGACACCTTTCTTCTTCCTAAGCCTCTTTGTTTCCATGACAAAGAACCTCCTCTTTTTGACTGACTTCTTGGTTTCTTTTCCCTTAAGTGGAAGTATTTATCATGACTCACCCTTTGTACCTCTACTGATATCCATACAGTGGTTCTCAAACCTCTCTATGCCCTAGAATAGCTTTGAGAATCTTGGGAGTCCAAACTGTGAAATAACATTGTCAGAGTTTCCTAATCATTGGCAATAGATCTGTCCTGGAACAATGACAGCAGATTTTGAAAATTTATGTCCAAACAGAAAAATTGGGGTAGAAAGTTGAAAAGTCCCATAGGGTTACTGATGGCATAAAGACCTCAGGAAGAATGAAATAGCTGTCTCCTTCTGGGGCTTCTGCCTCAAATGACCTAGGGTGCTCATAAAAAGCCTCATTTCTGAACAATAATTAGTCCTAATATGTACTTGCCGTAGTTGGGCCTAGGGCCTGGAAATCTATCGGTTTATGAGTCCCCCGGGGAATACACACACATTAAAGCTTGATTGGGGCGCTCAAAATGCCTCCAGTCCCAAAAGTCCAAGATCCTTTTCAACTTCTCCCCCAGTGCTCAAAACAACAAGTCCAACTCAGTAAACCATGAAGCTCCCTAAAGCCCTGCCTACTTAAAAGGGAAAGAAACAAAAAGGAGAA